GGGTCCAGTCAGAGGTGGTATTTACCGGTTCTCCAAACTACTCAAAATTTCCACTACCGGTTCTCCAGAACCTGCTGAATGCCACCTCTGATTCAGGGTTGAAGTAGGCCAGGATTTATATATTTTGCAATTGCAGCCATTCAGTACATTTTATTTGATTTTCCTATCATGTGACCTGTGAATCCCAAGCCTTACAGTTTGCACCTCATGTCCTATAGTCTATTTTACTACTTAGATTTATTGAGGATTTTGTGTAAAGTAAAAAAAACACCAAAATCATAGAAAAAGATAGAAAAGGAGAAAAGAGGAAAGAAAGGGGGACAAGAGAAAGAAAAGACCCCCCCTAAAGTTATAAAACCTAATGACTTTCAACTTTCTCTTCAACAGATTTTAAATATTTTATAGTTTGTGATGAAGGAATCCTGATACTTTTTAATTGTTAAACAAGCCAGGATACAGCGTACCACACTCCATTCATTAGCAGCGCATAATGTTCTAAGGTTCTCCTAGCATCTTCTTTGATTCAAAGCTGCTGCTTGTTGAACATCTGCATTCTTTTCTGTACTAAGCAGGCAGATGTGTTACATGTGTAACACACCCCACAGCCTTTATCCCAAAAGACAGAGGAAGGAACATGGCTACATGGGGGCAGTTGAGAAAGATCCACACCTGGGTGGAGTTAGCCTAAGAAATTGGTAGCTCAGACATCGATTGCATCTGAAAAGCCACCAAGTTAAACCATTCCAGAAAAAGGTGACTTTCTTTTCGCCCTGTAATTCTTGACGTGCTGACCTCAATAAAAAATATCACAGGGAGGGTACAAGAGGGTAGAGCTACCCAGTTTGACATTGCAAGACTGAGGCCTCTTTTCAGATTAAATGGCTGCTAAATTTAGCCCTCTTGAGCCCTCAGATGGTGTTTCCCATGACATGTGTAGGCAGGGAGGTGCTGAATCTGCCTTTTGGAGATGGAGACATTCTGCCTCGGACGTCAGCAGCAGCAGCAGCAGCATTCCTGGACGTATCGAGTCTCTGGAAAATCCTGGAATCTTTTCCAGTTAGATCAAAGTCAGATCAAAGGCATCAGCAAGGTTCCCAGGGTAGCCATCAGACCTGTAAAATAATGTCAGATGCCATGCACAACAATGCCCCATGCTTACTTTCTGAGCCAACACAGAATTCTGACTTTCCATTTCTATGTCTGTGGGTTTTGCACTAAGAAATAATTGATGGCGTTCTTTTGGCAACAATTATGGATTCAACTTTAAATGAAAGTCTGAAAGAATTTGGGGTATTCCGTCCAAAGAAAAGAAGCTTAGCTAGGTATATAAAAGGAACCTACTCATCTTTTTCAAGGCTATGAAAACCAGGACCGGAAATAACAAATACAGGTAGTCCTTGACTTACGACCACAATCGAGCCCAAAACGTATGTTGCAAAGTGAGAAATGTGTTCCATTTTACGATTTTTCTTGCCACACTGATTAAGTGAATCACTGCGTTTGTTAAGTTAGTAACACAGTTGTTAAGTGAATCTGGCTTTCTCATTAACTTTGCTTGTCAGAGGACCTTCCCGGGCTCTCTTTTCACTGGCAAAGTGCTCCAGGAGGCCATCGCAGCCGAAAACAGAGCCTGGGCGGGCCATGCACCGCCTCCCCCGAGTTCCTTTTTCACCGGCAGAGGGTTGCAGGAGGCCATCACAGCCAAAAACTGAGCCGGGGAGGCCGAGCTACGTTTTTGCTGGCAGAGGTACTATGGGCCGGTTCTTCACTGTTTGCAGGGTGGGCCCACGGGCCAGATCTAAGCATCCCACAGGTCGTATCCTCAAGCTGGTCATGCCCATCTTGGCCATGCCCCAGTGCTGGGTTCCTCTCTCTGTCGCTACTGGTACGCTGCGCACGGGGCCGGGTGCCCTGTTCGTGCACATGCACTGCGCACATATGTGCACTCCACCTCCCCTGTGACTCCCAGCTGTTTGCCACACGCTGTGCACGCATGCACAATTGGCCAGTTGCTTTAAAAATAGGTATGGAACGCGGGCAGGCGGTTGGGCCAAACAAGCCACCGTACTGGTACGGTGGCAGCTGCTCCCGGCTACTACTGGTATGGCTGTACCAGCCAGAACCCACCACTGCTATGCTCCCCCCCCCCGCACCCTCCCCCATAAGGTCAAACACTACTCTGATACAACCCTCAATGAAATCAACTTTGACACCCCTGCTTTAGAGGAAGAAATGGATCCATTCTTAATCCCTGAAAATCTGGTATCCCCATCTTCACACTCGATCTCAAGAAACATTTATTGCATCTTCTTTCTTCAAGTACTGTGAAGACATTAAGGCAGAAATGTACAGAGCAGGTGCACAATTCTCCACTCAGTTACATCACAGACGGCTTTTATTTTAAGAATGGCTATATCCACAAAACCATGGCTGTTCTAGTCACGGATAAAAATCCGAGGGGGAAGGGAAAAGAGTTGGGGCAGAGATTTGCTAAGGAAAAGGCACTTTTTTTAATGAGATGCATTTTAACCAAGCAGCATACATCTTGGAAGAGGAAGTATTCTCCACGGCTCTCCTGCTTCTTCATGTCAATCAGTCCCTTCTCTTGTTGATGTCCAACAGGAGACAATTGTCCCCAACAGGAGAAAAGGAAAGTCAGGACTTTCTATTTCTGGATGGCTATTTCCACTCCTCACCACTCATGGGGCTCTTCCTTATGGGTCCATTAAAATGCTGTGAACTAACAGAAAACTACTTTGGCATCTGTTCCCATTGCTGTGCCCCATTGTCTTTATTCTGGTCTGTGGCTGGAGAATGACATCCTTCCTCGCCCCTGCCTCCCCCCCCCCCCCAACCTTCACTTATGGGGAAGCAGTGTTGCTACTCAGAGCATTGTTATGACTGGTAATGGTTTGAGCAGGAAGGGATCAAGCTATTCTCCAAAGCACCTGAAGGCCAGACAAGAAATAATGGATGGAAACCGAACAGGGAGAGATTCAACCTAGAAATAAGGAGAAATTTTCTGACAGTGAGAACAATCAACTAATGGAACAGCTTGCCTTCAGAAGTTGTGGGAGCTTCATCACTGGAGGCCTTCAAGGAGAGACTGTTAGAAATGGTGTAGGGTCTCCTGCTTGGGCCGGGGTTGGACTAGATGACCTACACGGTCCCTTCAAACTCTGTCAATCTGTTAGCTCGGTTAATTCAGGTCTCAAACTACAACTGCTAGATCTACAGTTTCAGCCATTTGCCAGAATTTGTCCTCCTCACTTCTTCCAACTGGGGGATCAATTACCTAGACAGCAAGAGGTAGCAGAAGAAAGTAAAGAGGAGCCTCCTTATTCACCAGCTGTTCCTGGGTTTGGAAACCTGGATCAGCTCAAATCGAAACATCAGCCATCAAATCTGGTACTTGTGGGATGGTCTCCCTCTATGACATTTCACAGCATAACTTACCTGCATCTAATCGACTCCTTTCACTCTGCTTTAGAATATGGGTTTAGTGTTCTTCTTAGAAGAAGGAATAAACCCACGTTCAAAAGCAGTTTGAAAAACAACTGCCCCATATAGTTTTATTTATTTATTTGTTAAATTTATATGCCGCTGCTCTGATGGACAAAGTTGAGCAGAGGATGAAGAGTGCAGCAGAGAGAAAGAGAGCCATTCCCCCCCCCCTCTCTCTCTCTTCTGCTTCATAGTGCAGCCTTTTCCGCTGCTATTTCTGGTCAAGGATTGGCTCGCAGGCCTTGCACATACAACGGAAGAGCCCACTTTGAAAGAACCAAACCCGTCTGCTGTCCAGATTAGAATCATCCTGGAGAGCTGTGCCCGGGGACTTGGCAAGGAGAATAGCACTGCACTACTTCAAATGGTCAACAGGTGCTTGGCTGACCTCAACCCCATACACTGTAGGTCACCAGGAAGCACTCCTGACAGAATGGTGGGTGAACCGTGCCAAACTGCACCTACCTTAAAATAAAACTACTGCTTAAAGGAAGAAAACGTCACTTTTAAGCTGGGCCACCTAAGGATGGCTTTGTCGCCTCGAGGACGCGTTGTGGAGAAGCTGAAGGCAACATCATGAGGACAAAGAAGAAAAAAAGATCACTTGCAGTGGGATGTTTTTGTCAGAGCTAAATGATAAGCAGGGGAAGTCCTGTGGTAGCCAATCAAGAGTCTCCTTCTATGCCCCAACCAGAGTTTAAGTCTCCTTTGTCATCTCAGGAGCTGACAACCGGCTACTTTGAGGCAAGAAGGAGATTTTGCAGATAGCAATAGAACTTAGACTTATATACCGCTTCATAATGCTTTTACAGCCCTCGCTAAGGGGTTTACAGAGTCAGCCTATTGCCCCCAACAATCTGGGTCCTCATTTTACCCACCTCAGAGGAATGGAAGACTGAGTCAACCTTGAGCCTGGTGAGATTCGAATGGCTGAAATGCAGCTAGCAGTCAGCTGACATAGCCTGCAGTGCTGCACTCTAACCACTGCTCACCATGGCTCCATTATTCGTACAGTCTAGCTTTGACTTCCTAGACAAAATCTGTAAATAAACCATAATTCATGTGCACGAATTCTGTAGGCATCCTACAGGCTTACGTAGCTGCTGGAAGCTAATTCTCCCCTCTGCCAATAATAGCCCCTCACTTTTATCATCTCTTACTCGAAGGAGGAAAACAACCAGAGAATCCAAATCAGTTCATTAGAAACAACCCAACTGTTTGCAGAAGAGACATGGTAAGAGGAAGCAAACTGCTTAAAATCCTTGGCAACAATAAATAATTATCCCCGGGGAAGGAGCATCAATCAATAAATAATTTACATGCATGTCTCACAGTGTTTGGCAAAGTGGCTAGGATTGAAACACTCAGTAGTTGCTTTGGTTTCCTTTCCTACAGCAAAACTCATCAAACTTTGGAGAGGTGTATACAAATGGCAACATGCTAACACACATACACAAATAGCAACAGCCCAAAGAGCAGCAGCAGCAACAGCAGCAATGGTCTTCTCCTATGCTCAAGGCCTCTATACAAATGGCAACCAAGTAAGACATCCAAAGTATTGATGTAGAGAGTGAAACGCCAGTCACTCCATCTGCAACGCTTCTCTGCCCTTGAAAAGTATCAATGGCCTTAGGGTACTGTTAATGATGGCCTGGGTTGAAGATCCCTGGGTAGTTTTGCAGGGTAAGAAGCTCTCTCTCTCTCTCTCTCTGTCTGCCATATGGAGGAGACACCAAAACACATCCCAGCTTTTCCACTGGTGCGGCTTAGGAAGGGGAGGAGACCAAGAGGAGAGGAGAGGTTGAGCTAGAATCTGTAACGAAAGGTCCATTCGGACAATAGTTCTGCGGCTCACAGGTGACAGGGCAGGAAAACCATGGCAGGGGCCAGAAGAAGAGGACTGGTCTTTCCAGGAGCTTCCTCCAACCATGTCTTTGGAAGGCCACGAGTCCCACAAGGTTTGCAGCAAAGTTGCGGTGCTTCAGATGGATCCGCCAGCCTTCTTTGAAGCTCATTCTACTTTCTTGGCTTTCCGTTTCCGAGTTCCTTCGTTGAGCTCCTCCCTTGATTTGGCTGGCATCTGAGGTGGCGACGGAAGGGATGGCTCCTGCAAGCCTCCATGATGGTGGTGGTGGTGGTGGTGATTATCATGACTGCCAGATGCAGAGCCAAAGAGGATGGGACACACCACATTTTCCAGAGGGGCAAATGGGGAGGCATGGGAGTGAGTTGCTGTCAGGAACACCTGCACGACAAGGAAAAAGCTCCATTAGTGGTCACCTCCTGGGCCAGGTTTTCCATTGCTCAGGCAGCAACAACAAAGCAAAGTGATTCCAACCTGTGTTTCCTCCCATTCCTTTTACCCTTCCTCACACCAAGGTTCGTACCCGAATCTCCTGTCTTGGCCAATCAAGGCCTTTTCAATGAAGTGCTGGTGTTGGTCACCACAATTCCAACCTAGAGCTACCAGTGCACATAGCTATACTGTTGAAAGGCTCCTGGAAAGGATTCCCTTGTTAAGCACCCAACAGTATTTCTTCTGCTACACCAGCCAGGCGTCCTTTGATATCTCTAGAAATTCAAAACTCGCTCTAACTCACACGGGAGTCCATTTGTAGGAGAAGAGTGTAATGTCATGCATATTGTGACCTCATCGGGCAAATGATGCCGGTGATGTGACTTATACATATATCATTGGTGTCAATGAAGTGACTGATGCTAATATCATAATTTGAGTTCACGAATATGTTGGATGTCACTGTGCTTCTATCAGATGCTTCTGTTAGTTCATAGTGAGATTTATTAGCTTTAACTTAGTGAATTGTAGGGAATATCTAAACCATGTAGAATAGAATAGAATAGAATAGAATAGAATAGAATAGAATAGAATAGAATAGAATAGAATAGAATAGAATTAGAAGGGACCTAGGAGGTCTTCTAATCCAGTCCTCAAACAGGAGAACCTATACCATTTCAGATAAATGATTGTCCAGTCTCTTCTTAAAAACTTCCAGTGATGGAGCACCCACAATTTCTGAAGGCCAGCTGTTCCACTGGTTAATTGTCCGCACTGTTAGGAAGTTTCTCCTTAATTCCAGGTTGCTTCTCTCTTTGATTAGTTTCCAACCATTGTTTCTTGTCCTGCCCTCTTGGAGAATAATTTGACCCCCTCTTCTTTGTGGCAGACCATCAAATACTGGAATACTGCTCTTAGGTCACCCCTAATTCTTTTTTTTTTTGGACTAGCCATCACACTAGAATAGCTTAGTGTGAGGCATAAATCAAGGACTGTAGTGTAGTCAACTAACCATGGTTTAATACAATGAATACTGCCAATTACCTCCACTAGACCGATACGATCGCATAGATTAGGCCTCCTCCGAATTCC